TAGCCCCAATATCGTCACATATGCCAGACAGGCTCCCACCACTGGCCAGCATAGTACAAATGATCGCAATGAAAGCCAGCTGCCAACAGATAAAGCGATAGACCATAGGGAAAAAGGACTGCTCCCCAACGCCAAGCCAAGGAACAGTATGGCCCCATACCAAATCCATCAAACCAGCTCTCAAAAACTGGAAGTAGCTCACGATCAAAGGCGGAGCAGAACACTCATAAATGGGTTGGCCAAAGAAATCTAAGCTGCAGCTTTCAAAACTAGCGCACCCAAAGAAAATCTCAAGCCAAGATTCGTCATAGCTTTCCCAAGCTAATCCATTCCATCCTTCAAGCCAAGTGGCAAAGGACTGGCATGCCGCTTTACCTCCTGCGGCGGCGTCATCATCAGGTAGGGGTCGTTCAGGACAAGCCCCAGGGTGGGCCGGTAGGGCATCACCGGCGTCACAATCTTCTCTCTGGTCATCTTGCCAAAAGGGGCCAGCGCTTTGCTCTTTGCATCTGGAAGTGGCATGTTCTCCAACCCAAGGTGGACTTCGCCCCCATTCGATGCCTCCATCGCCTTCGCCTCCTGGATCAGCTGCATCATCATAGCTCTCGTGCCATACTTCTCCGGGTTGGCATTCTTTTGATTCAGCAGCCACATTTGAGCTCCCTCTGACATCTTCAAGAGGATCTCTTTGAGCTCTTTCGAGTCCATCGGAGCCTCCTCCACCCCTATCTCTGGGCTCAGCTCCACCGGCAATCCAGGGGGCGACCTGGACCTGCCAGCCCTCTTCGTGTCTGGCTCTTCTGGCATGGAGTCTGCTTCTCTTTTCACGCGAGTACGCAGAACCTGCTGCGGGGAACTCCTCTCCCCATTGCCCATCATGGCCTGGCCTTGGATCGCTCCCACCAAAGCCGAAACCTGCTCCGTCAGAGTCTGGTTCCGCTCCTCGATCACGGCCGTGTAGGACATCATCTGTGCCATTTGCTGCTGCATCATAGTCACCTGATCGGTCAACTGTTCGAGTCGAGGATCTAGAGGCCCATGCCCATCCTCCTCCATAGACCCAGGCTCTTCGGGGTTCGTCTCCGCCTCCTTCAAGGCCACCATGAGCTCGGCCATTGTAGCTTCGTGCCTTTTCTCTTCCGAGATCAAGCCCTGTTGGAAATTGTCTTTCCATGCAGCAAACTTCTTCCCCTTCTTGTCCATCTCTTCTTTGATCTTCATCGCCTTGTTCAAAGCTTTCCTCTCTTCGTTCAAGGCCTTTTGGCGCGCCTTGATTTCGTCGCGAGGATCCTTCTGGAGAAAGGTCGCCACATCCTCCTCGATCTCCTCGACATTGCCCTTGCAGATGAGCTTCTTCATAGCATCTTTGAGCTTGGCATTCTCCAGCTTCAATGCTTGATCCGCTGCTGACAAGGATGAGGGTTGCGAGGATGCAGAATCCGAAGCGATAGGAACCTTCTTGCCATCGTACCCCACAAAGAAGGCGGGACTTTCTTCGGACTCTTTCTTCTCTTTGTTCTTCTTCTTGCTTTGGGGATTCCAATCCCAGGCATAGTTCTGTCCCCATGCCTTCTGTCCTTTCGACTGGAAATCTTGACGTTTCCATGACATGTCTATGCCAACACTGCTCTTTCTTTCCACTGACAGGCAATCCAGAGCAGAAATTCTATACCGTGGCGCAGAATGATGCCGCTGTAAAAGGACCCTTGCTTTCCGCAAACGCAGCAGCAACCCAGGTCGAGAAACAGTCCTGACTTTATTCCGCCGAAGTACAGATCTGGCTTTCTGTCGCTTGGCTCGCAGCTTGCGATGCCAAAGCGGACTTCTCTCGGCAGCCGCCGCAATGGCACGCTCGGGGCTACCTAAAAAAGGTCGAACCTACAAGGTTCTGGGGCCTAAACTATCTCCCGCTAGCGGTCACGTTCGAGCCCTACTGGTCAAGAAATATTCTACAAGAGTATAGTGTTCCACAAGAGTGTCGGACAAGAGAGAATTCCATAAAGCGTATGAAAAGAGTACCAGTCTCTTGTAGGACACTTTTCTGGGGCACTCTTGTGCCCCACTCTCGTGGGACGCTCTCGCGGGACGCTCTTGTGGGACACTCTTGTGTGACACTCACTCTTGGGGGGCACTCTTGCGGAACACTTTGGTAGGACACTCTTGTGGCACACTCTTGTAGGACACTCTTGTTGGACA